ACAAACTGCAAGGACATGGCACTACAAACTCAGGGAGATGACCACAAGAAGTAACTCCTTGAGCCGACTGTGCTGCCAGCATCAGAATATTGACCAGCAATGGTTTCACACTCTGTGTGCATTGAAAAATCCAGGATTGTAATATAAAACAAACCAACAAAACCAAAACCTGCTCAGCATGAATGAAGAGTATTTGACAGAAGTTCTGCAAACAAAGCAGCTAGTGAAATAAACCTATTTTAGTGATTTCTATGCAACAGATTTAGGTAGAACCAAACTTCTGGGATTATCCAATGCTACAACCACCTCCTGTAGTAGAAGTTTCAGGATCTTTCGTAATGTCCTAACACAGGAGCCCTCTCAGGAAAACAAGCAAGCCATGTATAGCAAGAGGGCTGATGCTTCAGGGCAGGTACATCATTCATTGAACAATGCTTTTATGGCAGTACAACTGCAAGCAACCTCTTAAAAAAGCCCTCCTTGCTTTTTGGTCACTCAGGACCAAACAGCAACAAGGCAAGACAGAACAGTATCGTACCCTCTGCTGAGACCATATTCAGGATAATACAATTTTGACCACTTAACCTTGAAATATTAGTTGGGGTCAGTGGGATTTTTTACCATTTGCAGATTGTCCCATAATTGCGATGCCAAGAAACCACCCTAAGCCTCTTGCATTGTAGTGCAAGATCAACCAGAGGACCAGAATTAACCCGGTGCTTTGCGCTGCCTCCAGGGATCAGAAATTTCCCATAGAGGACAGAGTGATTTCTGTGCATTTTACACAGCAGAAAATGTGACTGGACTATTACAGTGCTCTATCCCGATCCCCACCTCTCTCCATATAGACTCTAAAGCCCTGAAAGGAAGTTTCCATTTCTACATACTTCAAAATATAACAAACAGATTATGTTTATTTTATTTACTAATACACAGAAAAACTTAACACAAGGTTATCTACACTGAGTGTTAGCTGCTTTCGAGGCACCTACGAGGGCTAAGACAGAAGCGCCATAAATCAAGACATTATCCACCAAGTTTTCCAACAGGAAGGATGATTCAGCTGCCAAGATCTGGGAACACGAGGCTGTACTGATAAAGACAATGCTGAAATATTCAAGGCCAAGGGAGATAATTAGTCAGAGAAGATTGTTCCAGCATTCGGTAGGAAAACACATGTGCAGACTACATTCCTCAGTATACAGCACTCCCTCCCACCACCATCCAGCAAGCGCAAAGAGGAGACACATTTTCTCCCTAGCTGGGAGTGCCTTTTTTCATGTCAGTGAGGTTGTAGCTATACCCTGCTACGGACAAAACCCTAAAAAAGGAATGGACCTTTTTGGGGGAATGGGTGATTACCACTTTACAGCTTATAGCTATTTAAAGAAGGATAAATGCAAGATTAAAGGAACTGGGTTGCAGGTTCTAGAAAGGAAAAGATAGGGCCAGAAAGAGCGTAAAAGAGATCTAAGAGGAGAGTCATCAATTTTTAATTCGCAAAAAAGGTAATAATTAATTTTCAACAAATATTTGGATGGTGCATGAGACAACCTGTCTAGATGGATAGTTAAGCATAGGAAGAAACATCTGAGGAAACTGTTTTAACCTGACTCTATGAAGGATGCATTGGATCTTGTTTGTAAGACTGAAAGGGCTCACTACAGGAGCAGCAAGGAGGAACTAAAATTAAGCTAATATTAAGATGATCAGAAATGTACTGAAACAACTCAAGTAGATTACATTCCCTCTTGCCATTCTTCATTTTTTGGCTCCCAGAGAGGCAGCAGGAGGTGGCTGAGCCCAGGTGTTTATGCCCTTTTGGCAACGTTGCTCAGGTAAGAAGCAGGGTCCCTCTTGCTCAGAGGGAAGAAGCTAGGTCCCTGTATCCTTAATAGAGCATCAGGAGCCACATCAGGGCCTCATGGTATAGCCCAACAGTACGAGAGCTGTTCTTGCACCTTCCTGTTTTGGCCTCAAAGTTCCCATACAGCATTCCGGGTTTCTTTTTACATTTTCTTAGCCAGGCCCCTTGTATGGCCAGGGTATGGCCTCAGGACCTTGCAGACATAAAACCAAACAGGGTTTCATCAATAAAAAGTCCTTTGTTTGGTATCCACCTTAGCCATGACCCAAGTCAGTTTAGGGAGGGACTACAGCTCTTCCCACCCTTACGCTTGACTGTCAGTCAGCACTTATAGTGGCAGTATTATTACTTTATTTCCCCTCCTGAAGTTATCTACCCAGCCTCTATTTTATTAATAATCGCTCTTGAAAAACACTCAAGACCACAGAAAATCCAAACAGTTTAGGAGACATTACATATGCATCAAGCATTTAGTACTCATGTCAATGTTTGAGGGAATCAAGCACCACAGTAAGACCTCCGGAAAGCTGAGTAAAAGGAAGCTTTTTCCAAATTAGCACTCAGGAAAATAAAGCTGTAAAAAGCTCTGCTATTTCCAGAGGAAAACAAAAAAGGTTGATCATGAAAGACGCTAGGAAAGATACAGAGGGCATGTCAAGGCAGAGAGCCCCGTCAGCTTTTCTTAAGATTCCAGTTACCCACATAAGGCAATGCTAGTATAGCAATTGAGAGCTGTGGTTTAAAATGAAGTCATCCTCAAGTGGCTTGATTCCCAGCTGGGCCCTTCGTGAAAATGACATTAAAACCTTCTTGCATTCTACCCCTCTCCCTACCCACCTTCACACAGCTGCACTTTTTGAGGTAGACATCCTCTGCAATCCTTCTCTTTCCTTCCCTCACTGCTCTGTTCTCAAGAAGTCTGCAAGATGCTGCAAATGTCCCCAGCATCTGGTGTAGAAAAACTGCATCCTGTCACATACAGAGACTTCTGCATGAAGCTATCTGCACAAAATGCCTTCATCTTTGCAACTGGCTGCTTTCCTACCACCGCCTTTGGAAGAGACCAAGAAGGCCAGAAAAGTTATCTTTGTGCTTGGCAACTCAAATGAAATGCAGAGATTATCAGAAAGTCTTGCTTCTTAAGAGTAAGCATCAGAAAGTTCACCTCAACAGGGGGATACTGTAAGTAGCCCACTCAAGAGAAGAGATGGCATGACTACATCTTGTGACAAGTCATCAGACCCCAATGATGGACAAGAGCAGAGAGATCCCATTTGCATGGCCACTCCAGTAGAAGTTTTATATACTTGAAGACAGCCTTATTAAATGTGATATGATACAGCTGTGAGAACATGGGTTAGAGAATAAGGGAAGACTTCCACCAAAATCCCAAGAATCAAATTATTTAAGAAGTTACAAAAATAATCCTATCATTTTATTGCTTTAAAAATCTGTTGTTTGAAGTGTTTGTGGGAGATGCAACTTAAAGGGGTTAAAAGAGTCATACTTAATATAGATTGCTAAAAGAAAGGCACAAATTTAAAAGATACAAGGGCTAACAGAGGTCTGCTTTTAGTCTTATTTCCTCTCCATTAGAGGAAATTTGAACTTTTTAACTTGATGAAAGATAAAATATTCATTGGTATTCAAAACCAAAAGAATGAAGACAAGAATAGTCCAGGGAAACTATTAATACAGCAAGTGTCTTTTTTCTCTTAAGTCCCTTCCAAGTAACTTCAAAATTATTGTAGCATTATTCTGGATAGCAGCATAACTAGTACCAGCATATACACCAACAAAAGTGTATTTCTGTGAAAATTCCAGGATTTACACAGTTAGATTTCCACAACAGCCTAATGTTATGAAACAGAAGTTATTTTCCAACTGATAGAAACAGGAGGGTTTACTTTGATGAAAAAATAGACATGATTTTGACATGTCCTCCTACACATGAAAATCTGAAACACTTAGCAAAAGCAGTTTTACTGTATAAGGTGCATTTATTGCTGTTCTACATTAAACTTGAGGGAAAACCACATTATTTAACAAGCTAGTTAAACATACAGAACAACTCAGAATCCAGTCTTAACTCTGGTATCACAGGTTATTTATTTGACTTTACAAGGTAATTCCCAATATTGCTCGAAATGTTTAGTGCACAGAATTCAACTTGTTTCAGAAGACATCAGTAATAACAGTATTTTGAGCGCCACTGTGTTCAACTTGCACTGGGGGTTCCTGAAAAATCCTCTGTGGCTTTTGCTCCATGGTACTAGCTGGAAGTTTTTGAAGATTATACGAGAACTCATGACACAAAGCTCCAAGAGATTACACCCCACTCCGTGTCAGCCCCTATTCTGTGAATACTAACACTGTCAGTTATCCCATACTAACCCGTTTTCAGTAACAGTTCAACCTGGCCCTACTTAAAAGAAACAGAAGTTTCCAAAGAAAATAATGTTTTCTCACAGCTCTAATACAAGCTAAAGAATAAGGCCACTTCAACTTGGTCCACATTTTTCCATTAAAGAAAAGGAAGAAGGAAACATTGTCAGTTAAGTTTAAATGTCACACACTGCATACCCAGAGATACAACACTTTAACATCTCACCGCAACAACCAACCACCTCAGATCATATTAAGTGTAACATAGGTGGTAAAGATGCACAACTGCGCACCCTGAAGCAACTCTCACCAGAAGGCAGACTGCTTTCTAACAGGCTCTTTGTGATGGGAAACTTATTCCTGATGGCAAAACAAAAAGATGCAGCTGTTTCATTATGCACATCTACTACATGACCAGCCACTGCAGCTGAACAGCCATAGGTAGATTTGATGGTTAAGCAACAGTACAGGAATTGCAATAAAAACTGAACAAGTTAGCCACAATACTACTGCTCAGCATGCCACATCTCTTCTACAAAGTAAACATTATTTTCAAGTTAAGTACAAATCCTTCCAAGCTGCTTTTAAATATCACGCACACTATTTATATATTTGCTTTTGTTCTTCACCTAGTAATTTCTATTGTGCTTTTCATGGCATATCTGTGTTACACTGTTATGTATTCTCCCTGTGTTGATTATTCAGTTTTGACAGAGGATTATAAAATAAATTTCTGGAGCGCTTGGTATTAGAATAACCAAATAGCTTTAATAAAAAGTGGTGCTGCCATTAAAAAGGCAGAAGATAAAAAAAATTAAAGCTCTTTATTAACTTATCACTAAAATCTACAGTATTCCACAAAGGTTACATACTCACAGCAACATTACGCTGTTAAGAGGACAGTACAACATTTGTCAGGATGTTTATTATCCGCATATGCAATTTTATTAGCCAATTGATCTACAAGATATTATTTACCACAGGCAAACTAAATACTGTGCTTTTAAGAAACCTGCATAGAAATGATTTGATGTTTCTTTTGTTTTGGACATATTTACAAAAAGGATTTCTATGTGTGTTAGCAATAAATAATCCCAATATTCAAAATGTCAGTGCTCATGCACACACCGACAAGATGGTTGCATGCTTTAAAAATATTATTTACAGTACAGTCTCCTTCATAGCCCTCTCCCTAATCATAGCAGAAAGTGCATTTTCTTCCATACTCTTTCTCCTTTCCCTTTGTTTTCATTTAATCTTGCTTCTGAGGGATACAGCCTTCCATCTCAACAACTTCTGGCCAGCCTTCATACTTGTTTGTATCCTTGTTGTTCTTTATATGCTATAAATAGAAAACATCAATCTAAAGTCAATGTAAAATCATTTACATTTATCTTTTTGCTTTAACTCACAGCTTTAAAAGACATTTTATTTACTTATTTTCAGGCCATGGACAAAGAGAAGACATCACTATTAGCGTCTTGTGCTTTGTATCAAACAACAATTTCCCAGTATTCACCACCTAATGTAAGTTGCCCAGATAACTGTATGCTAAAAGCAGTTAAGCAATACTGGGAAAACATTTTTAAAGTTGATTATGGATGTTTATTTAGGAAGGGAGGCAAGCAAGAAAAAGGGCAACCGCTCTAGGAAAAAATAAATACAGATACTGAATTTACAAGGCACTGAAAATCACAGAATCACAGAATAGTAGGAGTTGGAAGGGACCTCGAAAGATCATCCAGTCCAATCCCCCTGCCAGAGCAGGATCACCTAGACTAGGTTGCACAGGAACGTGTCCAGGCGGGTTTTGAATGTCTCCAGAGAAGGAGACTCCACAACCTCTCTGGGCAGCCTGGTCCAGTGCTCTGTAAACCTCACAGTAAAATGAACAGTCAGATTTTGAAGAACTGTATTTAAAGTTGAATGTTTGCCTTTTTTGAAAATTAGGGGTTTACTTTTACACCAAGCAACCATCCACAGTCAGGTGAGACGTTACTGCCTCCAAGAGTTTGACGCTGCTCCTGCACTAAGTTCCCACTCCCTTGCAAAGCTGGCAGAAGAGAACATGCCTTCCTCTGTCTCCTAGCACAAAGCTACCTTTACTGGTAACTAAAGGCAATAACATGATGTGTTGAATTGCAGCAGCTAAAGTATGGGAACATACTCTATTTCACAAATTTTGCTACGGTAGCAGTAATTTTTGACAAAAATGCAAAGTGAATAGTTGGGAACACAAATACCTTTACTGCCTCTTATCTGTTGGAGATCTACTGTTGTTAGAGCATCTAAAATACAAGCATTAGGCAGTAAAGTTTTGAATTGTTCAGCTTAATTGGATTCATTAAAAAGACAAATGATCTAGTTATCGGGATAATAAGATCTACCCCATGTAAGATCTTTTTTCTTATTTGGGAATCAAATAGTCTTTTTTGTACTTTTAAAAGGGAGAAGCTAGTCAAGGAAGAAATTTGAAAATAACACTGTGTGCCACTAGTGCAATAGCTACCCATTTTGAGCAAATGCATAGCAATTATAAAACATGCTATGCCTTTATTAGTGTGAGGTTTTAAATTCCAGCAAGTTACAGAATCACAGACCTGTTCAAATGGACTTTTAGTCTTAATTCCTTTTCCACCGCAGAAGACCCAGTTGTCTCTGAAGCCAAGGTTAGTAATAGATGTGCTTCCTAATTCAGCAATCAGTTTCCGTGCTTCCTCATTAAGCCTTGAACAAAACACAGAAATTCAGTATGTGAATAAAATACATGCCCTTAGAACTTCCATTGTTTGATGGGCCATTCAGCTTTAATCTGATTAAATACAAATTAAGTCAGTCAATATTGTGCAAGATCTATCTTTCAAAATCAGATAAGGCTAGTTCTGAAATCACCTAATGGAATGAGCACTTCTCTTTAATATTATATTCTCAAGGAACCAGCATACAAAACTTAGTACATCAACAAATCCCAAGAACTCTCTCATGTGAGAATTTATGCATACATCTCAAGTCACATTAGCAATTCCCCAAGCAAATAAAAAAGTCAACCTTTAAAGTAAACATTGTTTGCATGCTCAAGCTGAAGTCTAGATAAAGTAAAAGCTATTTTAGATTAGAAAAATGACCTAAATATATGAAAGAAGTTCTTGTCTTCTTGGGTCAATTAATTAAAAATTCAGAATGCTGTCGTCTTATTGCATTAATATTTTTTCTCAGAAGAGCAAAAAAACCAACTATGTGCACTGACACAGCAATTGCTAATTAGTCAACTATTAATTTCTAACCTTTTCAGATTTTCAAACACTTGTCATATTTCTGCTAAAGGGTCTAACTTAGTATCTAATTTATTGTTTCTCTGTTGTTGGGATTACAAAACTTTATGCCTAACAGTTCTCCGTGTAAATACATACATAACCCATTACACCCGGTTAGTTTTAATTTGATCCTTGTCCCCAGATCACATCAGCATTATAAAACTAATAAACTGAAAGCATCTCTCACCTTGGAAGAACAAAACTTTATCAAAAGTGGCTGTGTGATAAAGAACGCATTTTTTCAGCATAAAGCAGCATTTAAAAGTTTAAGCAAAATACATAAATCAATTACATACTTGGTTGCACCATCATCATATGTTCCCATTAACACTATCGTTCCATCCTGGATTGACTTCAGAAATTCAATAAATGGAGCCACATCTGAAAACACAGAACAGAAAACTTTAATAACAAGCAACCAATCCATATTTAAACACCTGCAATGCCTTCCTGCAAAGGCATTCCTTTTAAGAATATAAGTGTACTTATAAATTTATAAAAATATGCTAACTGGGAGAAAAAGAAAATGTATCAGAGAGAAATCTTGTTTTATAGAAAGAACTTCATATTTTGTAAAGACATAACCACTAGTGGGAAGTACTCTGGAAAACAAGTGTGTTTGATTGACCATACCATTCCCTCCCACCTCAACTATTTGTGTTTCTTTCAAATTACACTCTCCTCGCAATTGCAAAGGTAGAGGTGAAGCACTCCCTTAACTAATCACCTTAAGCCACCACAGCAAATGGAGCCTGGAGAAGTGTGAAAGGAAAGGATAAAAAAAAGGATTAAAAAAAAAAAAAGATTTTTAAAAAAGGCATTTAAGTTGTTTCTAAGCAGACAAGGTAACTGCACCTACCTCCTCCCCACATGTCAAAGAATTTAGTGTCTAATGGCTCTCCTGTTTTACCTGGAGAAAAAGAAATAGTTGGTGTTATCAATTATAGCCAGAATTGTTTTACAGATAACACGCCCAACTCCTCTTTGTGATTTTTTCAGAGAAAGTGCTGCAGAAGACACCATATAAATCAATTAATATGGAACTCTTATCTTTATAAAGATTGCTCCTTAAACAGCATAGGTTGTTTGTGAAAAGGTGCCGGAAAAGGCAAGACGAAAAAAACAGAGAAGATGCAAACTTCTGATTTTGCTTCAAGTGGAATATAAAAGAAACCAAAAAGCACACAGCCTCTAAAACCAATAAAGAGAATTAACTTCATATATCTGCCTCATTTTTTAAAGTTGTTTTTGCAAAAATACATAGTATAGCTATAGGTTGCCTTTAGTGCCACCTGGAAAGTAAGAAAGATCGAAATTACACTCCATGTCTTGCTATAGACTGGAAATTCGTAGGTTGAATTAAACATCCAGAATAAATAGAAGAAAGCAGACAACACAGTAATCTCATCAGCTTTTTTTTAATACAAACATTTAAAGTTTGGAATAAAAGGAGAAACACTAGCAGCTATATAATGCAAAGGTAGGTATTCTGGTTTTGAACAGATTGAGACAATTTAGGAGGGTAAAATAGGATTAGGTAAGTATTGTTCAAGTCATGCTTTAGACGATGTAAACCTGAGTACAACCCAAAAATAACATTAATTTGTATTGCAGTGAAATACCAAAGTGCTATCTCAGTGCTATGGGGAATTGCTTCCTACATTAAGGACAAATCGCCAGTACTGACATTCAGTTCAGCTTTTCAGGTGACACAGGTAAATCTGTTTGGGTTTAATCAAAGTTAAGAATCCATACATAACATGACGTATTTAGGGTCAACATCTATCATTATGGACTAATCAAATATACTGATTTCAAACTAGGAAATAATGAGCTGCTCTTTCCATGTAGTAATGTAACTGTTAAATAAGAGCAACAGAAGAATTTAGTCTACAAAGTTTTAGTAGTGGTGGTAACACAGGAAGTCAAAAGAAGCAGCATGCATCTCATCATTTTTTCTATTTTATATGTACATTAGGAATTTATCTGATGTATCACCAAGACAGTTACCACAGCACTCCACATTACTATTTTTACCACACATTTTTAGTAACAAAAATTCACTGAGTTTTTTTACTAACAAAAAAGTATAAATGCCAATATCTGACATTATCTCATAAATATGGTGAATACTTCCTTTTCTCCTTCTGCTTGCCTTTTACCATCCCTTAGTACTTCATCTAAAATTTCAGAAACAATTTGAAAATTATGACAATCTGCTCACTTAAAACGTCACTTACCATTGACCAAGGCCACATTAATTCCTCTGCCAACATTATTTTTAACTGCACTCATTAAACTGAAACAAAATAAACAATTTTATTTTTAACAGGACAATTTTCTGATGTGAAATACTTCTATTTTTTTAATAGGATCAATCAAATGGTAAGAGATAAATAGCTGAAAGACCACATGCTCATGAGTACTTAAAGGAAGCATAATCTCCTCGAATTAATCTGTGTGCTCCGACAGCACCACTGAATTGAGAACAACAGCTCAAATACCCTCAGTTGTATCCATTTCATTTGATTGCTTAATCATCTTGGTTTCAAAGTATGTGTGTATATTAAAAATGTCATAAAAAATAAAATGCTATTCATTTAAGAAAATTCCTTGCAGTTAAAGAGCCTGAAACAAATAATAATGAGAAGCTTAGCACAGTCACGTAACCAACATTTTAAGCTTTTTTGTAAGCACATGACGCACAAAAATATGTTAATGAGTTTAAAAGCTAACTGAACAGAGGCATTTAAAATTAGTATTGCAGCATCACACTAAGAAACAAGAAAGTCAAAACAGTTAGCTGCTTGTCCCTGTAATAGGAAACTTAAATCCAAGACAATAAATAATAGACAGATGGGACTGAAAGTTGCGAATCGCCCTGGAGCATAGCTATACATCCCAGCAAAACCATTGCAGCCTGTGACAGCAATTACTTGGCCAAACTCAGAGCAGCAAAGAAGCTGCCAGGAAGAGACGCAATGTGAAAGGGAAGACCTGTGAAGAAGAGCTAATGGGAACACTAAGACTGTTAATTAGGATGCTGTGCTGCCTTGGTGTACCGCTCTGGTGAGAGGAAGCTTCCACAGCTCCTCACCCCTTTAAACTGGCACTGTATAAAGATCTCTGTTCTGCCTCCAAGCCCCACACAGCCCAGCATTAACATTTTGAAGCTAGGAAGAAAAGAATTAACATATATAAGGAGAAATAGGAGTAAGGGTTGAAACAACTGCATAAATTAAGATAATGAAGAAGTCTTCAGCTGAGATTCAAGGAAGCACATCAGCGTAAGCATATAGGTGCACATATCTCATTAATTGCAAACACGCTCCAACAGATGCTTTAACTTCATCCTGATCAGGATTTCTTTAACATCCTTCACTTGCTCTAAGAAGGGGATTCAGATGTGTACAGTCCTGTTATATTGAAAATGTTTTTCACATTTCTTCTGTGATCATATAATTTTCAGGTCATGTCTGAACATCCATTCTAAGCAACATTTTGGAAGGACCACATCCTTGCACACACAACTGCAGCACCAGCTTTCTCATGCTAAATTATTAGTGATATGCTAGAAACAAGAAACGGTCTATCACAGAAGTATGACAAAAATCTTCTTCTCTAATGAGGCTCTCTCTTGTACCCAGGATGAAGACAGAAGCCAAAATTTAGAGGAAATTTAATAGACAAGTATCGGGAACAGACTCTGTTTTAGCTAGTTCAGAGAGGCCATGAAAGACTACGGGTTAATTATAAGCTTGGCACAGTGACTTAGGTTTTAAGGAACTAGTAATCAGAGATTAAAGAGTTCATACTCTTGTTAGTCCTCTAAATTATACCACCTGCAAAAAATTCTGATTAAAATCAAAACTGTAATTCACTAACTTCTGAATTTCCCTGCTTACTTGTCTTGGAAGTATGAAGATGAAAAAGTAATCAGAAAAAAAGCATTTTGCAGGAGTTAGGTCACAAAATATCATTAAAAGAAGAGCTAGTCAAGAGGAAATAAGTTCTTTCAGAGCTCTGAGATACCTCTTTACACACTTGAGAGAGCTTGTGGACCAAGTCACAGACACCACAGGCTGCAATGTGAGAGTTTTCTCACAGGAGGGCAGCCGTTCATCAGTTTTAGAATTCTTCCAATAATTTGCAATCAAGTTATGGCAGTTTTTGAAAGAGAAATCAAACGTCTTACAAGCAAAGCTGAAGATAATATAAAATTAATTTTTCTGGTGGACATTAAAACAGATATTACAAGTCCTCCTCAGAAGGAATCCAGAAAGTTTTTGCCAAGGGAAACTGGACTTCAGACTCCAATAGTTGTGCACTAAGGTGCATACTAGTATTAAAAGAACAGAGTATTTCTTGCCAGCAACTTCTTTCTTTTCATCACTTTCTTCAGTGAAATATCCAGTAGAGGTTTTTCGTTTGGTTGGGTTTTTTTTGACAGGAACAACAATCTTAGTTAATCAGCAAGTGAGGCATTTAAAACAAAACAAAACAAAAACAAAACAAAAACAAAACAAGACCTACAATCCTGAAGTTAAAATATTACTTGCACTCCCACTACTCTTAATCAGTAAATCTCCCTACGTCTTCACAGATATTAAGCTTCCTAGCAACCAGAATGAGAAGGTGGCAAGTTCTGTACCACGAACAAAAATACCACGCAGAGAGATTAGATAAGACTGTCCAAGGTCACAAAGCAAACCAGTGATGTTTTTTTTCCAGTATGGAAAGCAGAACTCAGCAACTTTCACTTGGTCCGTGCCAACACTGAGCTTACACTCCCTTCGCCTGTTGTCCCGACCATACCGTGCAAACGCACCCCTACGCAGGCGAGCAAACCCGAGCTAAGTCAGCTTCATAGAGGAACAGCTTGAAATCTGAATGGTGCTTATGTTTCTAGTAATAATGCAAAGCCAAGAAGCTGCACGTGTTTAGTTGTCAGAGAAAAAAGCTCCCATTTCAACTCCGATACATCTTAATTGCTAGAGTTAGAGCTCAAAATAGTCTTCTCTAAGATCATATAAAGCTAATCTTACAGAGTTACTTTAGAGACTAAAGGGATGGAAAATGTAAACCAATACTTTTTATTCTGTTACAGACTAATTATCCTATTTACTATATTCCATGTTCACAGTGAAATTACTATTTGCCCTATAACTCATTAGCACTAACTGCAGTATGTGCTATCTGAACCACTCTACTAACACAGCATGGGCTGAGAAACACCTAAACTGGAGTAGTTTAAATGCAAATGTAAGGCAAATGCTTGTGACTGATACAAAAAAAAAATATCTTCCGACAATGCTAACACCCTGTCTTTTCTGACGTGACATGCAAAACTGAGTGGATAGACTATGTTATACAAAGCTGCACACACTAGGTGACAATGAGCAGGAACAACCTGAGAGCAAAGAAACAAGGACTCTAAAAATAAATATTAATATTCCCACGACGGAAATTACCGAAAGGTATTCAGTTAAATACTCTAGGCACAGTATTATTAAGACTACCATGTTAAAAATACAGTTATTAGAAATATAGGACTTAAACTCAAAACCAAACTGTGTTTCCGGCAGCTCCCTTCCTCATTTCACAATTATTTTAAATTTATTAACTTTACTTACCATCAGCACAGTTAAATAACTACTGATGATTAAAATAACATTTTTCCCCTTTTGAAGTCATCCATTAAAAGAAAAGCGGAAAATATGTTCTGAACTATGTCTTGGAAATACGGAAATAGATAGCCTAAAAGATGGCTTGTACAAGACAACTCCATAGCTCAGTTTTGGCTCAAGACATTCAGTTAGACATATCAAGAGTAATTATTTAAAAATACAGTCGTTCACTGAATTACAATTAGAGGCATAAGAACAAGTTACTTGGAGACAAGTCCGCATCTGACTTGACAAAGTTTAACTAATCCTTAAGCTTGTAAACCTTAAATAAAGTATAAGGTATCTTGCATGTATTAAAATAGCTTACATTTCTGCACTTACTGCATAGTATTAAGTGTGCTTCATCAGAGATTAAGTTACAGTGCAATATAGTTTTTTTCATGTGGGCAAACCACTGGAAAACAAAACCTATGAAGAATCATTTAAACTGCTGATTTTGTGTGCAAAGTGATCTAAGACAGTATTTGAAAGAGATACTTAGAGGCAACAGGTAAAAATACTTACATATTATCTTCTACACAAATTTTAGGTCCAACTACATTTGCTGCTCCACTTGCCATTTTGAATGCAAAATGCTTTTCAGGACAAGGTTTAGAGATCCCACATTTGTATCTTGGAGGTTTTGTAGCTTTCAAAAGGAAATAAAACAGGATTTCAGAGACAACACCACAGGTAGGCTAACAGAGAAATATCAGTTTTCTGGAGGAATTCAAGGAAAAAACAGACAAACTGCATCTCATCTGCAGCTTCATAGCATCTTAAAACAATCTAGATTCCTGCAGTACCTCATTATTCTAATTCTTGTTCTCACCTCTCTGCTTGCTCTAACCCCATCACCAAAAGCCACAAGACAAAACTACAAGTGAAATGCTAGCAAAATCCAGACTTTACCAGAAATTCAGGAAAATAGGGAAAAGACGGAAAATTATTTTCTGATTGCATTTGAAGTGTAATTAAGACTTTCTTAAATACGGAAATTCAACAGTTTTTCTGTTATTAGCAAAAGCAAGTCACAGCAGTAACACATGCATACAAACACTCACTGCGTGCAGCTGCATCCAGTGCTGATCTAGCTAAAAGGCAAAAAAAAAGTTTTACAAGATGTTACTATTAGTGTCATCTGCTATAAAACATCCTATAAATTTAAAACCTTTCTGTACCTCTATAAAAACAGGTTGGTTGAAATGAAGTATCAAATACATCTGAGCATTATGTTCCAATATAAAATACTATCCTTTACATCATAGAAGAATGAAAGTGTCACATTTAAAGCACTGCACTAATTTACGACTCTCTGATTAACACAAAGATCCATGGAGATGTAAAACCACCAGGGCCCTGTGGAGGTGTAGGCACTAAGGTGAAATAAATTCCCTTCTTACAGCTTTACCAGGATGGGGTCCTTTTCACCTCACACTGGAAGCCTGCAAATTGGGTGTATTTGAACCCAACAATTCACAACTCCCTTTCCTGGAACAGGAAGAGATACAAGTGACCTCATCATGCACATATCTACAATACATCTGTAATACCTAATGACACCTGGGTCTTTTCAACGATTATTAAAGATGCCTCTGGTGACTGGTTCAGATGTCAGGTCACGCTGCAGTAATCTGGAGTTAAATAGCATGAACCCTACCCATTTACCTAAAATTGGTTTTTTGTATGAAAAGCCCCCTTAAAGATCAAGTCGTTCAAAACATATACTCTGAATTTTACACTGCTAATCCTTTTCTGTGTAGAATCCAGGCACATTTGAAATGTTTTGATTACTGCATGTTCAATTGTACACGACAGTGTAACTGTGCAAGCAAAAAAGCCCATCCAAAACAAAAATTCTGAATTGCTTAAGGAGCAGAAAGGGAGAGTGCAGATTTCAAAAAACATCATTCAAGCTGCCTAGTTTACAACTCCAGACTAAGACTGTAAATACCAGTAAACAGTGAAAGAGGTAAAACTATGGTCCATTTGCCTGCCAAGTATGCAAATTGATTATGAGTAGGTTAAATATTTCATACAGAAAATAACTTAATGCACATATAATATATTATATATGCATAAGATATGTAAAAAAATAACAAGTACACACATTAAAATAAATACAGAATTCTTCTTAAGTGTACGCTTAAGTGTAAGAGACTAAATAAACCTTAAAACAAAATAAATATTATATTATTGACTATGGCTCAAGTAAGTATTAATAGATGTCCAGATAAAACAAAGTCATCACTTACCAAATATGTGTCCCAAGTTTGCATCCATTTTTATTTCAAACACTTGAGATATGACATAAAATGTCAACAGAAATATTGCTACGACTACTACCAACTTTGCAGCACCTATTCAGAAGCAGAGAAAAGATTCAAAAAATTATCTGCAAATGAAAACGTTAAGTTTACCAGAATTAACCACATCAGAAATGTGGATCAGATTACATTAAAAGGAACTCAGAAACAGGACGATCATTTGTGGGCTCACTAAACAGAGGTAATCTACACGAAATGGACATTATGGTGCAACTGAGCCAGGCCACCAGGCTACTATCCAAATACCAAACCTGCCCTCCACTTTCTCCAACATCACGCTTGTCTGACAAGTTTGTACACCACAGTACAAACAGTTGGTACTCAGCTCAGCAGTCAGGAGAAACCACAGATTTTCCCAGTGGAAATCCAGCACAACAAAATGAACTAAGCTGATCTAACAGGCTGCTGTCCAAAGGGGAAACTCCTGTCTCCCCTCACTCCACTTCTCTGTTCTTAGCCATGTGTACCTGTTCCCTCACTGTTCACAAATACACCTTATTTCTCCCACCTCAAATTGAGCTACCTCTATTTTAATGTATGGTCAAGACTGAGGGATTAGGGATCTGTTCATATGCTGTTATTGGCTGCTTTGGTCAGTCAGCTCTGAGCATGACATCAAAAAACTCCAAGACACAACCAATCAACCAGAAGTCTCCTCATCTCCTTTTCAACAAATTTAAGTCACTGACCTTCAAAAAGTGAGTTTGAAGACTCAAAAGAGCTAATTTTAAAAGTAATGAAAAGCAGTACCTCACCTTACCCCTTTTAACATGTTGAAGCCTCAGGTAGCTTCAAGTTTTACAAGCCTGACTTTCTCCAGTGCTGAGCAGTCAAACTACCTCCTCAGGGAAGAGCTGGAAGCACACAACCACAGCAATTTACATCTGAAATGGAAACTCGGATGTATGTGGTACTGCCGTTAACTCTGCCATTTTTTAACATAATTTTCAATAGATTTTTACAAAACATTCCACTCTTAGCCTATTTTAAAACACTGACTCAGAGTATGTCAAATTGTTTGGAAGAAGCAATGTTACAGCATGCTTCTGCTTCTCCAATTGCCAGCCAAGGATTCTGAAATTATTCAGAAAAAAAACCAAATTTATGTACTCCTGCAGATCTCAGACTGCTGCTGTGATGGGCTGCTCAGAAAACCCTAAAATAGACAGATTACTCAGTCTTCAGAAGGATAAGAGATGTTAATCAATCCTTCCAAAAGGCTAAAAAAAGATAATGGGACAGAAAGAGAAAAGAGAGATGAAGGAAGAGATGTAACTTTTTTTCCCTTTGCTTATAGTTTGGTCTTCCTCTCCCACTCTCCCATTTTGTGCCTGTAAGCACATACATACTATGTAAGAAAACACAGATGCAAACTTAATTTAAAAATACTATGCTGGAATTCCAAAGATTATTGCATTTGAAGGGAAGAGAACCACAAGTAAGCACTAGAGAAAACATGAACTGAACATACATTAAGATGCAAAGAAAAGGTTTTCAAAGCAACGTTGCTTAAAAAGAAGAGATAGTACTAGATTTTGGAATGTGTCATCTAGCAAGTGGCACTTGGAAAGCATGTTGTTTCAGTAGAGTAGGTGAGATGAACAGGAACTCAGTATGAGGACTAACCAACCCCTCCACCCTATAGCCTGACCCTTTCAACTGAACTGCGAGTGCTCCCCAGAGGCAAGAACCAAAATCAGCCTGTATGCTACAGGTTAAACATTCTATAAGAACTATAAATAACTATATATTCTATAAACTGCCACATCTTCTTTGCCTGTAGGTTTTAGCAACAAAAATAGGTAGACAGAAGAAAAAAGAGGTTTAGAAAAGTAATTTTCCAGGTGATTCAGTAATCTTCTAAAAAATTGCAGTATTTTCCAATTCTTTATCAGATTTGCTTTAACGGGTTGCTCCCAGTTACACATATTGAGGTTAATAACAACTTTAGAAGCAGTGACAAAAATCAGGACTAGTTTCATGCATTAAGCAGATTCACGTGTGACTCTCTTGGAAAAGGAGGTGTCATTCTCTGCTAGAAGAGCCAACAATTGCTCCTTCTGCAACACAGCACTACAACTTTTGATAAAAGTGCAATGCATCATAACTCAAAACTGTTCAATTGCCACACAGGACATCCTACTGCAAGGAAATACCTAAAACAATATTTTATTGTAGTGTTATATTGGCAAAGATCTTATTTTTACAACCCCTACACCTTCTGTCAAGTAAAATCAGTTTCCCAAAGACTGCACTACAATACCTTACCTCTATGAAAAAGGCTTTTATAGCTTTCAAACTCCCATTAATCATTCAGGAAATTTCAGGCACTCATATTATAATAGTTCATGGCACTTTTGGTTGGGGTGTGAGGCAGGGAAGAAATTGCTTAAGGCATCAATCAATGGGTCATTTTCTTATTCCTTCATAGTCTTACAGAATTAGCAGCCAAAGTATATCCAGTTATGGCACCTTAACCAGTTACTGCAAATCAGCTAGAGCCTTCTAAGCAGCTACTTGCTCCCAGACCATTCCAAATTCCAAAATGAGTTTCATTAAACATCTGTTAAATGGAACAGCAATGTCTGTTATGCCAGTTACTTTAACTTATTGTCACAACTTGTTAATGCTGTCTGTAGGACTTGTTTCACATGAGACAAAAATCTGATTTTACTAAGCATGCTTACCTGCTATTCTCATGTTTAGTCTTCAGCCAGCTAATGACACTACTGCATTAAAAAGAGCCACCTAGGGAAAAAGAAAAGCAAGCCATCGTAATTACAGCCAAACAAAAGCACTTTTGTGATGGGTTAACAGTAAAAAAACTCCATAGATTTTTCTAACTAATATTAATGATGATTGACCTGAATATCCAATTTTTAATGCTTACAGTAAATGGAAGAAGATTCAGGATGGATTTCTGATGTATTGCTTTCATTTGATACTCCATGAAACAAGTATTCTGAAAAAAATCTTATTTTAATTTAATCAAATCCACTACAAACTCCTTTCAACTCATAACCCTTCAATCTGTGACATAAATATTTATCAGTGCTGTATCTAAGCAGCCTTTGATTTCCTAAAGCTATGTGATAAAAGTCAACAACTCCATCTGCATTGCTCTGAAGTCCTTGCAACTTTCAGATGCAAGTTGTTATTTGGCAACATAACATAGCAAACTATGCTTTGGAGAGAAAAGGTTTAGCATTTTTGGCCTTTAGGATACTGCATAAACTGCATTCAGTCGACCTGAAAGAAGGTTATTCTAATACTTTAATCTAAGTGTTACAAAAATGTAGTAACACATTTATCACTCATAGCAGCATCCAGAATATTCACTTGATGGTCACTGGTGACTGAAGCACCAACCCTAGAACTGAGACTATTTCAGAACAAACTGAAAACCACTGCTTATGAGCAAACACCACATAAGCTCAAAAGATTCCTCTTGAGAAGAGCTTGCCACCACATAATATCAAAATGGGCCACAACCCGCACAGACTCTGCTCAAAGGCTTCCACCCCCTCCTCAAGCAACACCTTGTCCCTGGGCTGTACTCAATCTCTTGCCCTCTGCCCGCAGAGCCACGGCTGCTGCTCACTCTGCACCACGGTCACGCTCAGCCATGGTGGGCCCATGCTGCACTTGAGCCTGGACATCTTCTGACTCCAGTTTCCCCGCACTCCCGATTAAAGAACCACAGAGCAAAGATACCCATGCACAGCCACTTGGCACCCCCAGCACTGACATGGTATCTATGCAGATCAGGTTTGGCAAAAATTGTAGTCCTTACTAATGAAATGCTACAAGATCTATCAGAAACATGGTAATTTGTTTTACAACATTGAAGCAGATTAAGCATGTAAATATTTTTTTAAATGAACTGAAATTAGAATTTGCTTGAAAACAATATGCTACTTGAACTTCTGTCTCTCATTTCTTCTATTCTTATCATTAAGTAAGAAAGAACGCTCAGTTACTTTCTAAAATACATGAGGCATTCAGAAAAACAAGTCTGTATTCAGTACTTCCCTTCTGGATAAAAAAAATAAACTATTCCTGAATTTGGATTTTGGTGCATAGCTACTTATATTTAATATGGCAAAAGAGAAAATATTGCTATTCAGGGCTCTGTCGGATCATGTACACTAAGGCCAAATTTGAAAACACGTAACAAACGATCATTCTAATCCAAGAAGCCATCCCACAGCCCATCACAAAAGCTACAGCATCCCTAACACTCTTTAGTTCTATGCCATGATTTCAAAAACCATCAAAAACATTATCTTTAGAAATTAGTTGAAAACCTATTGCTATTAAAAGTCAGGAAATGCAAATTATTTGGAGATCACCAAAACCCCCACGTAGTCCTCATGGTCTATGCTAGCAAAGAAAAATTGATACTGCACTAACAACCTTTTGCCTTCACTTAACTCAGTATCTGCAAGTTCAGCGATTTGTGCCCATATTCCTCTTTGCCAAAGACACTGTCATTGCGCTCTATTGCTTAAAGTTTCCAAAAAAGTGGTCAGCAGAAAAATAAATAGGAAAATGAAATACAAGTATAGAAATATTTATTTCTACTCCATTAGAGTTTGAAAATAAGTATCAACAAAGTTGGAAAAGCAGAAAAATGTTTTTGAATGCTAAGGTTGTACTACAAAGGAAATCTCATAGCATATTATTGACATAATATACCCTTATTTATAGCCACATATATTATATCCACATATAATACCGTCTTTCAGTAAAAGGCTGGTATTTATCTGTCTTAAAAAAAGGCAAAAAGAATCCGCCAGGGCAGATAAACACATTTTATTTCAAAGTCTGTGAATGGAATTATTCTAAGCTCCTTGCCCACCCCCGGAAATACACCAACATTAACATAAACACACTCTGTAGTCTGAGCAACCGTGAGCTTGTTTTAAGTCAGCACTAAAAAAAAATAAACTTGTTTTTGTTTTACCATAAACAACACCACAAATTCAAAATATGAAAGCAAGAATGTAAAACCAAACCAAACCAAAACAGAAATGAAATGAAACTACTATAAGATCCAACCTTGACTGGAGAATGTCTTTATCCCAACACCTCAGTCACTCATCTCAGTGATCACTATTTGTTGCAATCAACAAATACACAACAGATAAGATGCATTTTTTTAAGTGTGAAATATTTTTTCATTTAAAAACAAGTAAACCTGAGTATGTTATGCCTAAACTTGAAAGGAATTTTAAAAAGTGATTTAAAGATTCTTTTCCTAAACTGCAGGAAAACTAAACTACCAAAAAATTGTGGGTTTTGATCTGAAGAATAAATATAGGAACGCTACAGTAGAGATAAATGTTGTACAGCATTTTCCAGCTGCAAGAGAATAATTTTTGAACGCCAAGTCCTTTTCCTATATATTATTATCTTAGAATACTTTTTTTAATTCAAGACAGAACAGGAATAAAATAGGACAGCCCATGAGCCCTTATGAATGCTTATAGACCATTACTCTGCATCATTAGTATTAGGTCTCAGAATCAGAATCACAGAAGTGATAAAAATGGATTTGGAATTTCTAATAGTGAGTATTTTAGGATCATTTACAAACAAACAAAGGACCACAACTGAGCTTGCTCAGATTCAGATCCGCAAAACCAGCATCAACAACATTCTTTTGATTGCTTTAGGAATGGGCTAAAAAAACCGCAAACCCAAACACTGCTTTCCTCCTCTTTGATTCCATCAAGATTCCATCAAGCAGAGGCAGCAGAATTACAGCCTGATCTTCTCGACTTATGAATGACCAGTAATATAAATAACCACTTCATTACTATATTAACATAACTTATCTCTGTCAGGAAGTACAACAAGGCTCACATTTATCACTTATGGTCAGAGACTGAGGCAGGAGGTGCAGCCCATAGTAGGATCTATAAGCAGCCCCCTAATGTGTTTGGCAGAACTCTATACAGACACAAAGGCCACAGAGGAGCACCACAAAACAGGTAACAGAAGCGATCAACATCTACAAGTCACAAAGTAAAATGGCTGGTTTAGGGAAACGCTATATTGTATGACTGTGAAACCGAGATATTCTTTTCCTTCAGATTGTTCTTAGTGCAGAACTTAAGACATTTATCAGTCAAGGTATAAAACTTGGGCAGTGGAAAGAAACCCCAAAAATCCCTCACATGAAGCATCAAATGTCTTGAAGCAAGAAGCTATCCACAGAAGAACCTAAAACCGGTGCCTTCAGATTATTATTTTCCTCTACATTAAGAGAAAGGAAGTTGTTATTTCTAAGGGTGGCCTAATGTGAGAAGAAGTGTGGCAAATTGCAGGTTTTCATCTATAGTGGACAGCAGTAAAGGTGTTTTAAATCAGAACAAATTCTACAATTTTACAATCAGCACAGTCAAATATCTGCAGGTCTATCTATTTGTCTTGTGCAACTCTTCCTGAGGCTGGAGGAGCATGGTCTCCTTTTCCTATGATCCCACTCAGTGCTAAATGTGAGGACATGTCTTCTCTCAGCAACAAGCACACCTGTCAAACCATGGCTGGTCATCGCCAGCTCACAGGAGCCAGCATTCAGGAGAACAACCAGTGTCAAGACATTCTGACCAGTGATCTCGCAAGTCATGTCCACACCCTGAATAAAGAGCACAAAACTACAAAGAGTTTGTGGTCTACAGGCTGGTAGAGTCAGAACTCTCGTCAGCAGCAGTGGGTATTTTTCTTAGAAGGCTTCGATGATGCTGACCTTCAGCTGAGCTCAGCCAGCCATGCTGGTCCAGTGAGATGGTAAAATCCCAATATGTAAAGCTGTGAAATACTGAATAGTAGAAAACGAAGAATGGAATGCTTTGTTAAACTGATGTAGAAAGTTCTCTCTGAACTGGCAGAAGATGACGGACTCAATGACAAAAGTAAGAGAAAACCACCAGACAGGCAAAAAGCTGGTGGTGCCATGTTAGCGAGTTCAGACCAGCACACAACTTGCTCAATCCCTCGAGAATAGGAATGAAAAGGCAGACAGCTCACTGAACCTGAGAGTACAAGAAGTTAGAGGTTACAAATCCTTTTCAAAAGCTGATATGTCATTGTCCAGTTCCCTGCATGGAGGTGCACATTTAACCACGCAGAAAAGAGTGAGTTATTCTGGAGGCAAGCTACTAGGGAGTGGATATAAGGAAAGACAGTTGGGAGCTGAGGTTTCTGGTTGCTTTTCTCTACTCCATCCATCCTTGTGCATTATATTTTGTCCCAAAGCAGGGGCAACTTCCAGATGTTGAGATTTCCAGTGCCAAAGCCATTCCAAGCAATCCCCGTGACAGCTCAAAATGCTATACACAGGGCAACATAACAAGAACAGAAGAAAACCAGAAAACAGCAGCTTAGAGTGGAAACAAAAAAAAGGGGGGGGGGAAGAGAAGAGAGAAAAGGCATTTCCCCCACTCTGCTCCACTTGTTAATCAACTTGTGTGGAAATAAGAGACTCAACACACAACTGACAAATTTCATATACACATCTGCAGAACTACTGCACATATTTTGATACATACTGAAACTAGCTTCAATCAGTAGAGCAGCAGATACTTGCTTTTCAAAGTGACCCATGTCTCTTGAGGGAACCCTGCCAGGTACTTCACACAGGGAGCTTATAATTTCATTGAGCCTATAATCCTGCCAAGCAAATCATCATGTTTTATTAGAAGATATAAAGTTTCTAACACACCAAGATCAAGTTCTTTCCACA